CCTGCTGTCAGTTATTTCTGGTGTGGAAAGGCTGTCACGCTTTTTGCTTTGATTTAACAATTCTCAGATCCACTCTTGTGTTCAACAGGCTATATTTCCTACTGCACTTGGGATATAACCACTTTTCCCGTCATCGTGGGAGGACACTATCTCACTTCCAGCTGCACTAGGAAGACATATCCACTCTCTGATGTAACTTGAGAGCCTTGAATCATCTATCAGTACTGTTTATTAATGAACTATCACGACTTCTCATTTTTCTCTACATATTTGTGGCCCTAGTGGAGGATGACACGTTCCTATCTGAAGAATGACTAGTATGATGCTTTTGAAAGAGGCAAACATTACCCTCAACAGCTTAAGTGGGAAAACATTGTGTGCTGCAGGGCTGTAGTGCCTATTTCACTCTGCTTGTGGGATTACCTGAATACCATTCTTTAGGGGTTTATGTCATGAGATTTCTTAACATGTGCAATCACTGAGGACAAGAAAGTGGAAATGAAGAATATATTCGGCTCCGAGGCATTTTAATAGCACAGTTTCAATGGTCATCACTGAAGTATATAGAAAGAGAAAGAGGCATATCTTTAAAATGACAGCTGAGTGTCTAGCAGAAATGGGCACTTTAATGGTGTCTAATTGATTTATGCCATATTGATGACAGTAAAGACAATCAAATTACAATGACATTCTATGACTGTCATTTCACTGAACAAAAATTAGATGGGAGAAAGTTTCATCATTTCAATATTGTGCAGAAAATTGTGAAGAGAGAAAAGAGATCACATGGACAATCCAAGGTCCCACGGACCACAAAGTGGACATTCAAAAAAAAATTAAAAGTGAATTAAAAAAAAAAAAACCACCACACCAAAACGTAGGGAAAAGATACTACACGTAGTGCTAGACTGTTTAAAAATGAACATTTTATTTAAGACAGTCCTCACTAATGTTTCTGATGCACAGTTTACTGAAGTCAAAAAAATTCTGAGAACTGAATACTTGACAGCAATTTAAAAAATAAGTCAGCAAACAACCAAAAAGCCATCCCAGAAACACCAGCAACAACATCCCTCCAGCAGGTCTCATTGTGTAAGGAGTGCTTTGAGGCACCTGAAAATATCTGAGCACATGCCTGACCAGGTAAAAGCCTTCAGTATAATTTTACAGTTTGGGTTTAGTCGACATACCATTCATCACGGTATTTACACTGGCAGACACTAAAGAGCTAGAAGGATAGGCAAATGTTCTAGGTATCTAATAAATGGGCTTGTGTCCCTGGTTGATTTTAAGTGCAATGCATGCATGCATGCATACAAGGTTACATAGGAATGAAACAGTGTAAAATCTACAACCTGTTAAATTTGCTCTAATTTATCCTCAGAAGGGAACAGTGTCAGGTGTTTTGGAGGAAGTTACAGAAACAGTGAAAAGAGCAGCTAGGAAGTCAGTCAGGAAAGTTTCTTCCTATTAGATATTGCTTGTATCTAAAACAAAAGGATGAATGGTTACAGAGAATAGCAGACAATTATCAGACAGAAAAACAAAGACTTCATGGATGAAGGAGTCTTTTAATCTTCTCACCTATGAAGGTGTGTTAGTAAATTCTTTCATTGCCATTCCTCAAGGTGGTTTGCTAGATCTGGTAGCTGGGTTCAAAATTTACAGGATCAGGCCCTGCTATGAACACATTCAGTGTCACCTAGGGTTCGGGAGAGTTGGCCACCAGAGAAGCTGAGTGGAGATGCTGCCATCTCCACTGCGCACGGCCACTGCTACACTGAAAAGGGAACCTTTAAATGGACAGATACAAGACAGAGAACATACTCTAATCTGCACAGAAAACAGAGTGATCCTTAGCCTGCATAAAATAGCTAATAGTATACAGACGTGTCTTACTGTCCTATTTGTCATTTCAATGTAAATTAAAATTACTTAGTGTTTGCAAAGTGTTTGTAAGATGAAAAGATTAAGTGTCAAGTATTACAGTTTACTGTGTGATATAACTATTATCATACTAATTAGAAAAAATAATTAGCTTGAAATATTAAGATACTGATGTGAGATAAGCCTCTGAAGCTACCGAGGTTCAGCTATCACCAGCAAACATATGATTGAAACATTTAAACAATGAGAATACTTCAGTGTGCTAAAAGCTGCTGGCTATTATAGCTTAATTGACCAAGAGTAATGTTTTCAAAGCCAGCTAAGGGATTTTTGAAAATGTTACTTGGGCTCTTGAGCAACCCCAGCATTTTTAAATATTTTCCCAAGTATTTTGTGTTTGCGTATTACATCCTATACCTATTACATGGACATATACGCAGACTCTCATTTGCCCATTCTTAAAGGCACAAGATCCTTTCATGGAAGAGGATCAAGATGAAGTTATTGCTGACTGGTAATAACTAATGACTGTAAGAGAGGATACACCTCCTTTTTAGCCCTGAATGAGCACTGGATAAACTGGAGGCTCAGTAGGCAAGTCAGTGCTACGCTGCTGCTGCCTTGTTACAGTCTGATGTTAGGCAGCTAATGATGCAGAAGAAAAGATTATCAAAAGCAAACGTGATGGTCAAAAGACACTTGTAACTGAATCATCGGCAGAGAGCTCCAGTACAGCCTTCACAGCAGAAGCCTGCAGGCAGCAGCCTCTGCATCACACATCAAGCACATTTGGTCGTGATATTAAGGCACAGTATTACATATCATACCATGTAGCAGAGAATAACCATGTGGTATGATGGAAACCATCAGCTTTTGGGCCATATGCTAACAGCAAGCCCAGTCATATGATGGAGAAGGTGGAAGTATGCAGCCCTCTCACTCCTGCACAGAAACTGTTCAGTCTCAAAGCTGGCCAACAGGCTTTCTATTCATTGAAATACAATTTGAAATTGCCTGAATTCAATCCATATTCCTTCATCACCCCAGAAGGCAGTTCCTCCAGTCTCCGTGTGCAGCAATGACTTCAGAGCTTTCACTAGCTGACAGAAAAATTCTCATGCGTAGAGGAAACAGAAAAAACTTTACATTTCAATTTAGCACTTGACAAGTTTTCTAGAGTTTCAATAAGACAAAGACTACACATCCTTCTGCTTTTTAAAGCATCTAACACAATTCAGACACTACCACAAAATAAATAGTAATAAAAAAACCCAAATCTTCTTGCCGAATTCTGACAGCCTCCCATGTTTATTTATAACATTTAATAACACTGGATGTGCTGAATGTAATTGGCTAAAATCACTGTAGTATATTCCAAGTATATTCCGCAGAAATTAAAGTTTCCCAACTAGTAGCCACTGTAGTGTATATATTTTTACAATGGCATTTGTTTTACATATGGAACATGATCTTCTAATAGCTAATGACATATCTATATAGAGAGTAGATAGGTTTAATTAGTCTCACCTTTTTATAGGCAATCCAGTCAAACACCCTGTCAATATCTGTGGCTTGCTGCACCTCCTGGGATACTGGATGTGAACTGGCCAAACCATCCAGCAGCATCACTTCATGTAGGACATCGGTCAGAAATCTCTGCTTTTCCTGAAATACAGCATATGCAGCAGTATCACAGACAAATACACGTTTACAACAATACAGAAATGATGCAGAGTTCTCAGAGGCAGTTGACTAAAATCAGACCTTCTGGTTTGAATGTAAGCCACCACGACCTCCTACTATCTTGAACAGGTATATGGAATAGACTCTGACTTGAGATCTTTTGCTGCAATGAAACTTGACTGAAATTAAATTAAAGACTATTAAATGAATCAAAATATATCTGTATGTGCAGACTGCAATTCTGATTATGACTATTCATTCACAGTTACGAGGGGTAGAGAGAGAGGCGAAATGACGTAGTCTTCAATCACAAAAATATATGGATGCTACAAGTCGTTGAGCTCATTGCATACGCAGGTGCAAAAACTTTTGACAGAGATGGGTAAATACCATTATTACTGCTTTATTTAGTGAAGTTTAAGTCACCTGGCTGCTAGTGCCAAGTTCATGTGGCAGGTCGACGTGGGACAGGACAATGAACTGAGCCCACAGCAGTGTCACAGCAGATGCCTGCATTGTCTTTCATAATTCTGGTATAGAAATCCTTTCTCCTCAAGAGCTTGAGTGCTCTACAAACTTTGTAACTTCCATCTGAAGGACACCATTATTATCTTTCTTTACAAGTGGGACAATAGCTGCATGTAGAAGTTAAATAGCATAGTCAAAGTCACAGCTACATCAGAGGCAGGTGCAAACCCAAACAACATCCAACATACTAATTTGTTTCTATACCTTCTATAAATATGGATTGCAGAGGTATGTCAAAACTGCTGCATATTTACACTGGCAGCAACATTAATTAAATGTTCAGGTATACTCTATGAACTGTGCTGCACTCACTTTTACAGTGCAACTAGATGGGACTTTTTCAGCTGAGAAATGAGATGCCTTAAAAACTCCTCATATTGCATTTATATAGATGTCTTTAATCCAAAAGACTGTTACTTGTTTTTTCAAGTCACAAATAAATGCAAAGAATGATTAAAAATTATCAGCGGTTTAAATAAGCTTGGTTTACCCTGAAATGACATATCTCAAACTTTATCTAAATTACAGTGGTTCCTGAATGAATGTCAACCTAGTGCCATAATATAGAGAAACCCTAGGGAATGCTGCATTTTTTTTCGAAAGCCACCTTGATGTCCAGACATAAAATAACCACACAATTACATAATAAATTCTATGTTTAATTTCTTGGGTGGCAAGGTTTTGGTATCAATGTGTTAATTTAAATTATATTTATAAGACAGCCAAAAAGCTCTTCCAGTGCTGATCCATCTGGAAATAAACCTTTATGTTAAAATTCATTACAGCACAAGAAATGTACCTTGAGCTGATTGTATATTCAGGCAATTAAAAACACGAGATGCAGGAAAGCCAATTACCCAACACACTCTTAGTGTTCTCATCTGGCTGCGTGAGGTAAGGTTTGTGAAGGGAAAAGTAATACCTTGTTCATATTACTGTTCATTTCCAAATTTTCTCAGGCATATGCAGTTAGTAACTGCCCTTTCTTTATGGGAAAAAAAAAAAGGAGTAGGGAAACAATTATTATGACAGTCCTACTCAGGGGAAAACTGCTGAGGTGTAAAGGATTGTAGATGCTTTGCTTACACCTCACTCACATTCTCTGTTAGTCAGTAACAGAGCCCCAGTTTCATCAGATGTGTGATATGTAATACATACAGGTATGAACACACAGAGGTATGGATCTGTCTCCAAATTCCAGTTTGAATATCACAATTGGCAAACAGCTGAAGGATTGAATTGTTACTGTTTGGAATTAGCTCATTAAAAGGACCCTTGTTAATCCCAAATTAATATTTTAAATACAGAACCTGGAATCAAGAAAATCAGCACGTAGGAAACATAAAGCAAAGCTATAAGAATACAAAAGATATAAAAAGGACAGGCTACATTTTGGTTTTCTGCTTGTTTCTTTGGTTATCTCCCAAGGGGCTGGAAAGGAGCATTTTAGATTCATGATAGCTCACTCAAGTCACCATAGCTGAAAAGTCTTCCTTGAAATTTATGGCAGACCGTCACACTGGAATACAACTGGAATAGCTAGTATGCATCCAAACATGTAAACCTGCATTTTAGTGAGAATTAAGAAGGCTTTTGACCTATAAAGCTAAATTTACTGAACTAAAAGGATTTCTAAAACATTCCCACCTTTTATCTTTAGTACGAAGCCTCTGAGAGCAGATTTCAAAATGGGACTCAAATATAACTCCAGAGAAACACAGAGAGAGCGAGAGAGAGGAGTTTGCTGGTTGACAGGGGGCCTGCAGCTTGAGGAGGCAACAGGAAACAGAAACGCAGGAAGAAACTAGAACTGCCTTAATTACGTTGAAGAAACACTACCTCAGCTATTAAAGTCCTATCAGCACATTAGGGGGAAAAGGCCAACACATGTGCCCAATTGCTTCTACCGATGGAAGAGGGGCTTTCTATTTCCTAGTTATTTTACCCTACACAGTATGGTGGAATTGATCTGTTTTAACGCGATACCTACAGGACTAAAGAAACACCTCGCACAGAAATTGTAAAGAAAATCAATCTTGGAATGAGTTCGATGAGACCAGCGAGCTGTCAACACAGTAGGTGACAGGTTTGCAGCTAGACATGAAACAGTGACAAAATATTGTTCAAGATGACCCTGCTCCGAGGGAGTTCAACTGCAAGAGAAAACCCAAAGACTGTGATCCACCTGTAAGGAAAAGAGGGCTTCAGGTGAGCCTTGAGGCTTTGCTTGGAAAGTGTCAGTAGCTGCATGTAACTGCAATGCTGTGCAGTGCTAACATAGGGCCAGGGCTCTGAGCAGGAGTTGGTATGACAGCAGCAGAAGCCTAGTCTGAAATAAGGACAGAGGTGCTTCCACTCAAATTTGTGCCTTTCTTTAAGGGCAAGCAGGAAGCCCATCTGCTCCTTATCTTCCTACTGCCCACTTGGAGTCCCATCTCTTTACCTCCTCTCCTCAGAGCCTTCCTTGAACTGTGGATAGTCACAGTCTGGGAGATCAAGCCTGTGTTGAGAAGAAAAGACATGACAATTATTTCTGGTTACTTTCCCTCTTACTCTTTGAGAATGCTTCCAGGTGCAGGGACTGAAGTGCTGTTATCAGACGAACGTGCCTTTCAAAGATTTACATTTTCAGATTATTTCCCAAACATCTGTGGTCACTAGATTCAAGTATTTGTTTCTTCATAGGAATGACTTCTTTTAATCCTCGCCAATAAGACCTTCTCTGTTTGGTACAAGGTTGTCCTGAAAGACTTATCCTTTCTTTGTTCTCTCCCCTCCTTAGCCAACATTTAATTATTGTGAAAACTGAAATTGCACTACTTTGGGGAAAAGCAGCACAAATGCTATGGGTAACAGGGTCAGAAACTTTCCACCTACAGCAATTCTTCCACATTATGGAAATAATCTGAAGATTTTAAAATGTGGATCTGTAGTGTAAATCATGCCATAGCAAAAAGAATCAGGAGTAAGAAACTGGCTATCCACAAGAAAGCTTCCTGGTTCAGGTTTATTTTCACCTTGTTCTAGGGAGGAAGGTTTATGGAAAGGTAGTGGTCACTCTTTGTGTATTAATCTCCAACAGGATGCCCACCGTTCAGCTAGTCCACCTCTAAATGGAAAGAAAGCAATTGTGAAATAACATTTTTTTGGCAGAAAAGACTGTACCTTCAAGAGCCATTAAAAATTTATTGCGCATAACAGGATAACGATGATGTAATGGAAAGGGGTTGCTGCTGGTGATTTTACAATATCATATTGAGGCATAATGTAAGAGTACAAGTTGGCATGACAATAATGTAATACTTAAAGTTAGTCACATAAAAATAATTTCTAAAAATTAATATGAAATACCAGGGAAAAGAATTAAAATGAAAAAATTGGAAAACATCCAACAGTGGAACAAAAGGAATAGCACAATGAAAGGCAAAACTGGTAATTAGTACGCAGAAGAGATCAAAGGCCTCAATATTAAAGGCACCGCCTTTGTTCTGGGACAGCCATTCAAACACTTTATGGACTGAGAAATCTACATAAATAAAGCTTAACATTGGTGTGCAAATCTGCAAATGATTTTCCTGACAAATTTGCTGGAAATATCTTCTCCAAAATATAGAGCTTTACCAGCCATCAGAAATACAAAGGAGATAAGTGATCTCTCATGCCTGACAAACCAAGCATTTGCAAGACACAATACTTGGGTTTACAGGGAAAGGGCACCCTAGCGAAAAAGAAATAGGGGCAAATTTTGAAAGCAATCAAACACCAGCATATACACTACCAGCAGTTCAGTTCTAATACAATATATTTCAGGGTGAAGCTTAACAAACTAGAGGAGTACCATCTATGAGGAAACCTAAGGTTTAATAAAAAACCTTAAGTCCAGAAAAGATCCACTGGGGGCCAAAACCAAGTTCTTTCTGTCTACATGCTTATAAATCCTAAGTCATAGCACAGGAAGTCTCTTGAGTACTTACAAATGAAAGCAACATTTCTTTCTCTTTCTCTCTTCCCAACAGTAATTTTTTTGTAAATAGCTTGAACAGCTTACAGATTGCTTTTTTTTAATTCATATCTCTGCAGGTGTGCTTCCATTATGAGCATAGTTTGTTGTAAGAGGCCTACCACACATTCTACATTTATCAGCTGTGAATATGTCACAGTTCTGTATGTACCTTCATAACCCTCTTTTCTGCATTTTCAGGCAAAGTTCTTGCAAAATTTCTGTCCCTGTGCTTGAGACGTTTTCACACTGACTGACAATTTTTGTTGTTATAAAGCAACGTAGATGTTCTAGGAGTTCGTAGTTAAGGAAGAGCAATAGCTTTGAGTATCAGGAAGGAGAACTGGATATGTATTTTCTTTTCAGTGAAGTGCCAAACCAGATATTTATGACCACCTGCTTAAGTAGCCAAGCAGATGGGTAGCTGATTTGGAGTTTTAAAGCACTTTCACCA